GACCTTTTAATACAGTTCCTCATGTTGTGGTGACCCCACAACCCTAAAATTATTTTCATTGCGACTTCATCACTGTTATTTTACAATTGTTGTGAATCAGGCGACCCCTGTGAAAGGGTCGTTCAACCCCCAAAGGGGTCACGACCCACAGGTTGAGAACCGGTGCTCTAAAGTATGTAATATTTTTGTGAACAAAATTGACAGCATATTTTAGGGGCTTAGGTATGGGGTAAATTGGAGGTGCAAATTGAAAATACAGATATTTAAATATCTTATTGTTGCACAGGGATTTCTGTTGTTCCTACTTAAGAAACTTCTGTTGACATGTCTGTTGAATAATCTTCAGATTCTTAATATTCTTCGTTGTGTAGTGATGACTCCAGTAGGTACCAGAATATGTACATTATTTTTAGGAGAGATCATTATGCTGTGAATGGACTATTATATCCTTACATGTTGGCTTATTTTATAGGGTATATGGCTGAATTTGTGAGATTTCTATATATATGTATCTTAAAGAGCTCACAATAATAGGTTTTATGTCTCTAGTGGGTATTGGTTCTTGTAAGGGTTTGGAATCTGATAAATGCTGACCATTGATGTGATCTATAAGTCCTTATTGTATGAACGGTTAGTTGGTTCTGTATAAAGATCTATATTTAGTGTGCATTTCTGTAGAGAGTACTGTAATTCAGTTTTGTGTTGTAGGTGTTGGGTTGGTATGCTAGCTCAGCTGTATTCTTGGCATCTTTTTGGATTAATAGAATATCTGTTGTTGTTGTTAGATGCCATTGAGTAGATTCCAAATCATAGTGACCCTATGTACAATGGAGCAAATATATCCAGTCTTGTGCCATCCTCAGTTGTTAACGCTTGAGCTCATTTTTACGGTCACTTGCCAGTCCATCTTCTTGAATATCTTCCTGCTTTTCTCTGACTTACTTTGCCAACATGGTATCTTTTTCTAGGAACTAGTCTCTTCTGATAAAATGTTTAAAGTACATGAGATGAAGTCTCATCATTCTCACTTCTAAGGAGCATTTTGGCTATACTTCTTCTAAGATAGAATTTGTTTATTCTTCTGGCACTCCATGATACTTTCTGTATTCTTTGCCAGCACCGTAATTCCAACGCATTGGTTCTTCTTTGGTTTTCCCTAGTTAGTGTCCAGTTTTCATAGGCAAATGAGCCAACTAAAAATACCATGGATTGGGTCAGGTGCATCCTAGTCTTTAAAATTACATCCTTGTTCTTCAACACAACATATAGAGAGATCTTGTGCAGATTTACCCAGTGCAATCCATCCTTTAATTTCTTGACTGTTGCTTCCATTAATTACTATTGATTGTGGATCGAAGCCAGGTGAAATCCTTAACTTCAATCTTTTCCCCATTTATCATACCTGTTGGTCCCATTGTGAGGATGATCAAACATTGTCATATATGATAAAAGTTCCAATAAGTGTATAAAAGTTAAAAATATTCCATTGTTGTGAGTAATCATTTGGAGATTTATCTTTAATAGTTGATATTGGAAAATCTGTTACTTGTTTTTATTATTAATATAAGCATTTACAGAAGCAGGCACCTTTTGAAGATGCCAGAAAAGGGTGTTCCTGTTATTCCCTCAAGGTGTGTATATCATGTGTGTGTACATATGCTTTTCTCAACAGTTTTGTTGCCGTATAATTCACATACAAGTCAAGAGTTTAGTCATATCAAGAAGAGTTAAACAATCATCACCACAATCAATTTTAGAACATTTTCTTCAATCATATGCATATACTCATCATTATTATCTCCCTATTTCTCCTTAAACTCTCTTGCTGTACCCACAAGGAACCATTAGTCTAGTTATCTTGGATTTCTTATACAAAAAAAACATTAAAAAACTAACAGGAATAACAAAGTAAAACATAAAAACCTCAATCGAAAAGAAAATAGAAAATATTAAAAACCAGAACAAGTTTAAATAGATCATAAGGGTGATCAAACCTGTGGTACTAAATTTTAACCTAGCTGCATTTAACATAACCCATTTTCTGATGGTGGCTTACATTTTTAATGACTAAAAAAACTACACCTAGGCCTAGTATAAACGGTGATCCTGAACATTATATTATGCACAGTAGCCATGATTCTTTGCACAAAATAAGCATGATACAGATTTTAGGGTATTGTTATCTCTATAAGCCTAATACCGCGAAGTATAAAATCATTATTAGGCAGGTAAATAAATGATGGATCATTCTTTCACATTTTCAAAGATACTGATTATTTCACAAATACGATACATTTGATCTAGTGTGAAGGTATTTTCAGTATTTTACAGAGGGTTGGTGACTTCTGTCGCTTTCCCTCTCACTCTTTTTTTCTTTCTCCTCTTTTTCTTCAAAGTACGGTCACAAGAGTTAGCCAGCATTGCACGTTTTTAAGTAGGGTGGTCTCAGACCTTGACACAAAAGTTATGTGGAATCAGTTATAACTTAGCAAAAGATAGTTTAGCTTTCCTTTCCGCCATGTATCTCTTGTATGAAAATATGCTGGACCGTGGTACTAAGGCACTTTTGCATGTTTTCATGCATATTTTTAACATCTGTATACTTTTAATTCTTGCTTAAACAGCGAGCATACTGTTACATGTTTCTACTGCCATTGATGAATTATTTTTTTCTTATTTACATAGGTTGCACAGAGCATTGAGGATCATCATCAAGAAGTAATTGGTTTCTGCAGAGAAAATGGCTTCCACGGCTTGGTTGCATATGACTCTGATTATGCATTGTGCAACATCCCCTACTATTTCAGTGCCCATGCCCTAAAACTGAGCCGAAATGGGAAAAGTCTCACAACAAGCCAATATCTGATGCATGAAGTTGCCAAGCAACTGGACCTGAACCCAAATCGTTTTCCTATTTTTGCTGCTCTGTTAGGTAGGTGGTGGAGTACTATAGAATGGACTCATTCTTAACATTCATTACTTAGTATATTATTTGTTTGGTGTTCCATAGCCTGTGGTTACAGCTGATAGTGTATTTCTTTTGGTTTAAAATTTATGTTTATGTATTTTATCTAGGCCCCAAAAAGAATTTTGTGAATAAAATGGCTTAGAAGTTTTTTAAAAAAAATATTAACACTCATAAATGTTAATACACATTGACTGAAAATTAGTTAAACTTTTGGCATAAATTATATTTATTGTAGAAGAAATACTACATCTTATATTTTTTTCTCTTTATTTTCAGGGCGTTCACTAATTAAAAAAACCAAAAACTTAAAAAACTTTCTTGCCCAGTACCTGTATTTTAAGTATACTTGTATGCCTTTAAATGTTTTCTTGGGGAAATTTCTTATGATGGCTATCTATAAACTAAGGTCTTATGTACTGAATTCTTTTTCTTAAGATGATTTTCCAAAAGGTGATATATTTATCTGTTACTCTGTGTCTGCATTTTATAGCAGTTTTCTCTTTTGCCAGCCACCCTTTATGGTGCTTTTATTGTGTATGTCTCTAGCTACTGTACTGTTCTGCTCTGGTTTGGTGAGAGTTAGTGTTCACAATATCAGTAAGGTGCTCTCAGTGAGGACCTGAGGAACACCCGTTGTCAACATGCCCGAGTTGTCACCATCAGATTTAATCATACTTCAGAGTTTCTGTCCAGAATTGACTCCATGGCAGTGAGTGAGCTGGTGACTACAGGCCCTCTTTGAAAGACATGTGCTCTTCAGATAGATTTTGATGCTTTTGTATTGTCTTTATGATCTGCATTTTACATAGGTCAGCAGCCTATTTCATTTGTGTGTAGGGGGGAAATTTTTGTGGGCAAGTTTTAGAAATTGCTAGGCATCAGAAAGATTTTTGTAAACATTTCAAAATGTTTTAGCATAATTAGAAAGCATCGTTTTTTAGCTTAGCATTTTATGCTAGTATTTTAAGTCATAATGTGCAGAATTTTTCAGGGAAGGGTTAAAAAAAAAATCAGTGTTAAACCCACTGTCATGGATGCATTTCTCACTCAGCGTTTCTGACGCTGTAAGTCTTTGCAAGTTGTGAACACCCAGTGCTTATCCAACAATGCCTCCAGGCCTCTCGGAGAAGGTTTAGAGAGAGAGAAATGGAGAATATAAGAAGTGTTGAGAAGCATAAAGCATGAAGTGTGACATAATCAGTATCTTTAAAAATGTGAAAGAATGAGAGAGACCGATATGGAGAATATAAGAAGTAAAAATAAAGCTTTGCATTTTGCTATATTTAACAATTTAAAACATTAAAAAATTTTTTTAAACAATTTTTATCTGGTATTTATATCTATACTTTTAACTTAATCCTTCTATGTATCTTTAAGGTAGTACTTGACTGTTTCCATCCATTTTCTTAGGAAACTTGTGACTCTTGGAATTAGGTGGATTAAAATGAATCTTTTGAATATATTTTTCAGATTTTCATATAGTAAGAATAGGGCTATTTCTTTTGATACTAAAGATACTCTTTGATACTAAAGATACTCTGTGGATGAGCACAGGCTTTGTTATATTATCTGAAACATATTTGTTTAAATGTTAACTAAAATAAATAGGGACTAGTATTTGACTTTAAATGAATGAGAAGGATCCATGTTTTTAGAATATGATGAGTTAGCTAATTTGAAATGTAGAAATTATTTTAATTTTAAGAAACACTATTTGTGTTTCTTAGGCGATATTGCCAACTCACTTATAGTTATATTATTTTGAAGAATTTTAAACATGACAAAATCAATAATAAAGTTTCATCTAATTATCTTTAAGACTTGGGTATTTTAAGTTTTTAGGCAACTGTTAATTAGTGAGTAAGCTTTACTCATGTTTTAAGTTTTGTAAAATTTTTAGAGAAAGCACACTTTCCTTCTCTTTAGCAGAAAGTATAGCTGTTATCAATTTTGTTTTAGGAAAATTTGGTGGGATTTTCATTTAAACATTTGTTTTAAGAATTGCCAGGTTCCTTCACCCTAATTTTTTTTCATTTTAAAAATTTCCACTTAAGTTCTCACAAAAGGTTAAACTGATGCTAATGTTGGCCTAATATTTTTTGAAATCTTAGATTAAAACCAAAATTCTCAGATACTTCATACTTAATTCTTAGTAAAAATCTTTGTAATCCATTAACGAGAAAACAGTAAAATGTACAGTAAACCTGGACAGTTAAAAATTAGTTATTTTCAACTGGACATAGTAGTTCAGTACTTCTGTACTTGCATATTTTAGGCATTATGATGACGACGACGATGATGCTCTGAATTATAGCAATCCTATGTACAACAGAGAGAAACACTGCCCAGTCTTGCATCATCCTCACAATTGTTCTTCTTTTTGAGCCCAGTGTTGCAGCCACAGTGTTGATTATCTTGTTGAGGGGCGTCTTTCCTCGTTTTCTCTGCCCCTGTACTTTAGCAAGCACAATGTCCTTGGCCAGGGACTAGTCTCTCCTTAGAGTGTCTAAAGTTCTTGAGATGGAATCTCACCATTTGTCTCTAACAAGCATTCTGGCTGTAATTCTTCCAAGATAGACCTTGTTTGTTATTTTGACAGCCCGGGTATTTTCGTTTTTCCTTGCAGTATTACTGTGCACATTCCACCATAATTCAAATGCATCGAATCTTCTTTGATCCTCTTTATTCACTACCCAACTTTCACATGCATATGATACAATTGAAAATACCATGGCTTGAAGTAGCTCTGATGGCATAGTGGGTTACAAGTTGAGCTGATAACCACGAGGTCAGCTGTTTGAATCCACTATGCAGTCGATAGGAGAAAGAAAATACCATGGCTTGAATCAGGAGCACCTTATTCAAATTAATCTTCATGCTTCTCAACACTTTATACAGGTCATGTGCAGCAGATTTACCCCACACAGTGCATCAATGTTGAGAGTATACAACCTTGATGCACACCTTTTCTGATTTTAAACCATGTAGTAGTCCCTTGTTTTGTTTCCATGGCTGCCTCTTGAACCTGTACACTTTCCTCATGTGCACTGTTAGGTTTTCTGAAATTCCCATCCTTCTCAAAGCTATCCATAGTTTTCCATGATTCACACAGTCAAATGCCTTTGCAAAGTCAATAAAATACCTTTCTCGGATTCTCTACTTTCAGCTGAGATCAGCAGTGATATATCCCTTGTGCCAAGTCCTCTTCTGAACCTCTGGCAATTCTCTATAAATGTACTGCTGCAGCCATTGTTGGATGATCAACAGCAAAAATTTACTTGCATGTGATAACAATATTTTATAATTTGAGCACTCTGTTGAATTACCTTTCTTTGGAGTAGGTAGCTGCCTAGTTGACCTAATAGCTGCCTTCCAAATTTATTAGCATACGTGTTTGTGACAAGTGAGTGCTTCCAGTGTTTCATCAGCTTGTTGAAATATTTCGTTTGCTATTCCATCAATTCCTGGAGCCTTGTTTTGGACTAATGCTTGCAGTGAAATTTGAACTTCCTTCAGTATCATCGGTTCTTACTCATGTTTCTTCTTGAAATGGTTGAATATTGACTAACTCTTTTTGGTACATGGTTTCTGTGTACTCTTTACATTCTCTCTTGGTTTTTCCTGTATCATTCAGTATCGTGCTCATAGAATCTTTCAGTACTGCTACTTGAGGCTTGACTTTTTCTTGCCTTCTTTTAGTTAAGATGCTGAGCTTGTTCTTCCTTTTGGGTTTTCTAACTCTAGGACTGTGCACAAATATTTGACTTTGTGTTTTTGTGCTGCCCTATGAAGTTTGTTCAACTCTTTGATTTCATCATTTCTTAAGTTTGCCTTAGCTACTCTGTGATTGAAAGCAAGTTTTAGGAGCCCTGGTGATGAAGTGGTTACACATTGGCCTGCTAACCCCAGGGTTGGTGATTTAAAACCATCAGTTCTTCCAAGGGAAAAAGATGAGTCTTTCTACTTTGTAAAGAGTTATGGTGTTAGAAACTCACAAGAGTAGTTTTGTGAGTCAATCAACTCAGTGCTGGTTAAGATGGTAGTGAGGTTTTTTGAGTTTTCATTTGCTTTAGCTATTTTATGATTAAGAGCGATTTTTTTAATTTCTTCTGCCATCCATTTTGATCTTTCTTGTCTTCTCAGTGAACTTTTTGCTTTCTTTATGGATGATGCTCTTGATGTCATCCCACAGTTCCTTAGGTCTTCTTTTATTAATGTTCTCTGTAGCAAATCTGTTCTTCCGATGTTCTCAAGATTCAAGTGGAATATACTCAAGGTTTTATTTTGGGTATTACGGACCGGTTTTAAATTTTTTTTCAGCTTCAACCTGAACTTACATACTAGAAATTGATGGTCTGTTTTACAGTTGTGCCCTGGCTTGGTTTTAGCTGGTGATACTGAGCTTCTCTATCATCTACTCCTATATACAAGGGGGGTTACCCAAGAAAAACTGGAAAAATGCTTTGCTCAGTTGAGCTTTCATAGTACACATATTTCCCGCTAGGTGAGCATCGGGCAACTCGCTCTGAGTTAGTGCACCCATAGTGGTCACAGTGAATTTTTTTGAAAAATCAGTTTCGCTCAAACCTCATTTTTTGTGATGGCCAATTTAAGAGAGAACAGCACGCAGCTATGAAATTTTTTTTCCTGTGGAAAAATGCTGCCGAAACTTGTGATGTTGAACACAGCTTACAAGGAAAGCACTATGGCGAAAACTCAAGTGTACGAGTGGTTTTCTTGTTTTAAAAAAAGGTGAAATGTTGACTGATGACAAACCTCATTCTGGATGTCCATCAACTTCCTGAACGGACGAAAATATCCACAAAATTCGTGCATTTTTGCTTGAAGACCAAAGACGGACCATTGATATGATGGGGAAGTTATCTGGACTATCATGGAGCTTGGTGGAGCAGATGTTAACAGAAGATTAGGGAATGAGAAGGGTTGCTGTGAAATTTGTGCGTTGGGTTCTACAGCACCAAAGCAACACAACACTTTTTCCCCAAGTGATGAGACTGGTGCTGTTCTTATGACCCGGAAAGCAAACGCCAATCAAACCAGCGGAAGGTACCCTCACCTCAACCAAAAAAAGCTCGTCAAGTGAAATCAAAGATCAAGACAATGGTCATTTGTTTTTTTGATGTGAGGAGGATAATGCATTTGGAGTTTGTTACACCACGTCAGAGTGTTAATCAAGCTTAAAGGCCTGATTTGTGGCAGATGGGGGACTAGTTTTGCCACATGACAAAGCACCTGCTCGTGCAGCCATCTCAGCGCACCAGTTTTTGGCAAGAAACTCACCTGACCTTGCTCTTTGTGACTTCCGCAAATGCAGAGGGACATGTGAGGACCTAGATGAGGTGAAAAAAAAATATGGAGGTGCTGTCAGCCATCTAAACAGAAGTGTTTGAAAAATGCTTACAAGAATTGATAAAATGTATTAAGTGTAATGGAGAGTACTTTGAAGGTGATAAGGTTGTTTTGTAAAAAAGTTTAAATACATAGCTTTGGAGGGGGCGAAATCTGTGTTTTGGGGGGCACTCCCTCGGATGTGGTCAATTTGCATTTTGTTTATTTCATCTGGAGAAGGACGTGTATAATCAGTTGTTTTTTGTGTTGTTGAACAAATGTATTTTGAGATGTTTTTGATCTAGAAAATTCTATCATGTAATATCCAGCTTTGTTTCTATCACCAAGACTATATTTTCCAACTGTTGGTTCCTCTTTGTTTCCAACTTTTGTATTCCAATCACCAGTAATTATCAGTGCACCTTGATTTCATTAAATGTCTGACTCAAGACATTGATTGGATTATTCAAATTCCATATCACTAGCTCTAGTGAGTGATGGGTAAATTTTAATAAGAATTGTATGGATTTCCTTGTATGCAGATATTATCACAGACAGCATTATATTTCAAGATAGCTCTTGAAATGTCTTTTTGGTAATGAATGAACTATACCTTTTTAATCTCTGGCAAAGTAAACTGTATAATTTTTCTAATGCAAAATGAGTTAATTGTCCATTTCCGCTCACACCTAGAATATTAATCTTTTATACATTCCATTTCATTTTCGATGTTTTTGAATTTTCCTAGATTTATGCTTCATACATTCCAAGTTCCGATTATTAATTGTTGTTTGCAATTGTTCTTCTAATTTTGAGTCGTGCTGCATGGGCAAATGACGGTCTTTATTATTCCCATGTTATTTTGGTCAACTGTACTTTGATAAGAGATCTCTGCTTCCATCATGTTTTGTGTGCTTTCCAACTTGAGGGGCTCATCATGTTACTATTTTTGACAATCTTCTTCCCTACTTGAGCTTTTCAGTTTCTACAATGTTTCAATACTATCCCGAAGGGTTCCTGTGTCTAATTATTCTGAAATGGACAGCCTGTTCCTTCTTCACAGTCTGTTCTTAGTCTGGAAACTACTGAAATCTTTTCACTCTGGGTGACCCTGCTGGTCTTTGAAATACCAGTGATACAGCGTTCAGCAACACAGCCACCACAGTACAACAAACTCTCAGAGAAGTGGTGGAAATATTGCAGTATAACATTACAAATGATCTCACCTTATTTTGTTCTCTGTTAATAGCTAACTAGTGGATTCATTATTGCAACATGTAGGTGATTAAATCATAGTATTAAAATCACGGAATTATTTGCAAAGTCCTGCTTTAAAATGCATTGACATAACATGCAAAGGAGGTTAGTGTTTTCAAGCAATCAATTATTTCAGTGAAAGTATGCTCCAAAAAGTGTAATTTCTTGATTGAATACAGTTCTTATTTATAGACTAGAACATAGTAATGGTGATAGGATATAAAGCATAATAGCACCAATTAGTGTTATTGTAGTTTGTTTTTTGATACATATTTGTGGGTTACTTTAGAAATTAATAGTGGATATTGATCAGGTTATAATCAGTGCTCATTATCATTTAATCTTACTTAGAAAGTTGTTATCCCAGTGTGATTTATTCCTGTTTGGCTGCTCAACCAAATATACATAATTCAGTTTGGGTCATAGTTATTTATGAATTAATGAAAACCTGTATCTAGTCAGTATTTGACATTCTGGCATTATCAATGTGACCTTTTGCAAATAGGTATTTAATTTTAATTACTGCTCTAGGGGAGTCATTAGGTGTTTATGCAGAACTTTGAATGCTATTGGAAGTGTACTACAAATCCATACTATCCTTGAAATAGCTACAAGAAGTTTGCCTTGTCTACTGCTTTTATTCAAAGATTAAAAATATTTTGTTTGTAAGTTAAATAGTGTGTCAAATGAGATGTCTTGAGAAGTCATTTAAAAGTCTAAGACAAATAAGTTAATCTATTACTGGTAACAAAATACAGTGATCATTGGCTTTTATGTTTTATATATTGTATATTCTAGGTAATCATATTCTACCTGATGAAGATTTGGCTTCTTTTCATTGGAGTTTACTTGGTCCAGAGCATCCACTAGCCTCACTTAAGGTATAAACTTAATTTTGTTTTTTTTGATTTGTAATAACTGTTTATTTTGCCAATAGTTTAATAATATAAATTATGTTTTTATACTGGTAGGGGAGTGACTATCAAGCTAGAAATATTATATTTTCTTCAAATTTCAGGATCCTTACTGCCTTATAAAACAACAAAAAACAGGCTATCTTACCTTGTTTCCGGCACCTTAATTTTAGGAAAATTTATAAATATCCTTCTATTTGAGTTAGAGGAATTCTTCATGCAGTGTATTTAAATAGCAGGAATTTTTTTACCAAGAGTGTTTATGTGTTTTCTTATTATAAATGTTTTTTATAATAAAAAATATAATTTTTTATTATAAATGTTTTTTTTCCAAATGGCAATAAGTTTGTTGCTTAGATCAAGCATAGTTTGAAAATTTTCATAACTTTAATACTAATTTTCTGTAATTGTAAAGTAGATTAATTTGCATTCTAATACTTTTTTGGTGGATGATATACAAAATTCAGTAGAGAAATGGTTACTGCATAGGTTTATTATATAAGAAGTTCTCCTGGTGCAATGGTTATGTGCTCAGCTGCTAATTGAAAAGCTGGTGATTGAGACCCACTGAAGTTGCTCCACAGGAGGAAGATAGTAGCAATCTGCTCCCATAAAGATTAATAAGGAAAAGCACAAAAACAAACCCACTGCCATTGAATTGATTCAGACTCAGAGTGATTATATAGGTTATAGAACCTTTGAATAAGACTTACAAAGCTATACAGTTTTATGAAATTAGATTGCCATATTGTTCGCCCATTGATGAGCTAGATGGTTCATACCATGGATCTTTTGTTTTGCAGGAAGCACTTTGACCAGTTTGCCTAGAAAATCCTATGGGATGGTTCTACTCTGTCACTATAAGTCAACATTGATTTGATGACCCCAGCAACAATATTAACATTTTCTTATCTTTTTCCCCTTCCCATACTCTTTCTGTTAATGATAGTAGTGAGTATCAGAGAAGTGTATACTTGATTTTCTAATATAGGGAAGTTTACATATTTGTTGTAAGAATGAGTGAAATTGCTGTAAGCCAATATGAAAGCTTCTAGTAATTTACTGAACAGGTTTTCTTTGAAACTTTTGCTTTTGTGTTCTCTACTATCAATATTGTGATCTTATTTATTACTTGTTAAAAGTACAAATGCTTTTCGACTCACTCACTTTCATTCACTGACTC